ATACTGTATATCACATATATACATCATATATTAAATATATATCGTATATCAATTATATACTGTTTCAGTTGCATTAAATAACCTTGGATCTTAGTTTATTGGAATATGAATAATGCAAAGAAATAACTCATTATTGAAATAAAATGTTTATTAATTAGAAATACACTAGCTAAGGGCAAAAAACCCAAAATGACTAACTTAGCAACCAGAGAAAAAGTTTTCAAAAAATCTAGACCCTTTTGTTAAGTATATCCCTTAACCATGAATCTAGCCTTATAACGCTCAATAGAACCACCCGCCTTATACTTAACTTTATAAACTCATTTACAACCAATAATGTGCTTACCGATAGGAAGAGGAACGACATTCCAAGTCTTGTTATCCTCCATGGCCGCAAGCTCAATATTCATTACACTACGCCAACGCTCAAAATAAACTACCTGATGATAATATTGTGGCTCAAAATGAGCTGAAACATTAAGGACAAAACTACGATGAGCAGTAGAAAGGCGTGAGTATGAAAGATATTGGTGTAAAGGATAGCGAGAGAAAGATGGAGGTAAGGTAACGCAGAGGCAATCAGACTATAATGGAAAGCTTTCAAATAAGATGGGGCCTTAGAAACACGGGAAGATCAGTGCCGAAGATGTTGTTGGGATTTATGTCCTAAAGCCTCATTATTAATAAATATTTTATTATTTATTTGAAAAATAACTATTTAATTATTTTGATTATATGCAATATTTATTATCCATTTTTATTAAAATCCAAGGTCACAAATGTAATCTTGAATAGTATGTAGTTGACATACAAGAGGATCGTGTTCAAGTTATAACCTAAAGAGTCTATAGTATATAGATATGGTTGGGTGCCTTATTCTGGTAACACTATTGATACTTCCCACATTATAAATGTTACAGATGATTTAATCCAAATCATTCATGTGGAGATATGTGAGTGGGGGTATTATATACAATAAGTTTGTATAAAGCTAGGCCGCGAAACATTTAATCTTTCTTTGTAAATCAGTTAAAAAAGAAAAGGTAAGTATTTCACAGGATGATCATATGCAACTTAATCTTAATCTTGAGGGGCCGTTCAAGCGACAAACTTGCAAGAAGTGGAGTTGAGTAAGAAACTTCACTCCTTGTTTAAGTGAAGAATTTAAAAACTCCAAATTTGAATAGTAAATTCACTATTCAACTCCCCAAATTACTATTCAACTCCTTACTTTATTTTATTTTATCTATTTTCTCTTTCTTGAAATGAGTTCCGCATCAAATCATACATTTTTTCCGTTATCTCTCTTCTCACAATGTGGCCACATGATCTCAAATTTATTGGGTCCCACCATTTTTTTTATTTTGATGGGTTAGACCATTTCTCTTTCTTATATTTTTTTACTACCCTTCTTTCTCCCAATTCTCTTCTAATTTTCAATTATTCAATTTTATTTTTAATTGTTTCGGCTTTACTTCCCTTCATATTCACAATTATAAAATTTTCTAAATGTAATCCAAATATATTTTTTAATTCATAGATGTACATAGTTTTCAATTATTATAGATTATATGAATTATAAATCAATTTTATGTATACGTAGTTTTTTTTTAAAGATATGTATATCCAGTTATGTCTTGATATAAAAGAAATTTTAAAATGTCAAACTTAAATAATTAAATTGAAATATTTGATGAAATCAAATTAATCAAGTCCTTAAATAATCTTAATTCTTGTTCTCTCTTATACATGTTTAATAATTATAGTATGTAAAAATATACAATTTTAAACGAGGGCCTTAAAATAAGAATAATAATTTATTTTGAATTTATAAAGATAAAGATACTTAATTTCAAGTAAAGAAATATTAAAATAAAATAATATATATATTTTTTAAATGGATCATTTTCAAAATAACAAAATAAATTGTATTGTATTTTGAACTTATTAAAATAAAATCTATATTAAAAAATGTTTAATTTTTAATTTAAACACAATCAAAATAACAAATATAGATGTATGATTTATTCTTTTTGAGTTTAGTCAATTAAAATAATATAAATATGTATGATTTTATTTTTAATATAGTGAATTTAAAAGAGCAAGAAAATCTCTTTTAATTTTAAGGTAATCAAATTAAAATAACAAAAAGTATTAAAAAAAATAATGTAATTTTTAAACTTGTTTTAATAAATTTTTAAGATTAGGCCATAGAAATAATTGAAATATATAATATATAATTGTAATCATCACCCATTTAATTAAAAAAATTATCATAAAATAATATAACTTAACATTTAAATTTTAGAATTGACATAAACAAATTTAAATCAAAATTTATTAGAATCTAACACTAATTGTAATTTTAATAAAAAAGAAAAAAAACTAACATAAATCTAATTTACACAACTACAGACTTAATACCTCTCCAACTTTGTTTCAAAAAATAAAAAAACTATGCAGCTTGAACACAACACAGACTTCAAAACTCCAGATTATGAAACTCTGCCATTGAACACAGATTAAACAACTCCAGACTAATTAACTCCCCAGATTTAACAACTGCACTATGCGGCTTGAACGACTTTTGATATGATGTCCTTTGATTTGTGGCTCTGGTTCGTAGAACTCATCGAAGAGCCCAATATCGTAGTGGTTGTGGGCCCTCACAAAATTCTTTCTTCTTGAACTCGCGAAATCTATTTTTAGTACTTTTGATAGGAAGTTAAAAACGAGTGTCTTCTGCGTGCTTTGTTCCCCATAAAGGAATAACAACTTTGTCTTGATTGACCTCTCAAAACAAAGTTGGCAGTCAACCCAATCTATGAGTAGGTACTTCTCACCTAGTTCCTCAATGTCGTACTCATTGGGGTCACCATGCTCCTTCAGATATTTTTGTATCCTTTCGGGTACAGTGCTTTCTATATCACGCAATATCTTGAAAGACTCAAAAACCTCTTTTATCCTCCAGTTAAGATCCTCGTTTTCACAAGGTCATCCCTATACACTTGGTACCAATCTTCTAACCCCTCGAGACTTTCTAAGACTAAACTTTGGTTTGCCCTATTCCGTGCTAAGGCAATTTCCAACAATTGATATATATTATATTGCCTCCATATGGCAAGGTTATTCATCTTTCTTCATAATGTAAGCACACACAGTTCCCCACCCTTTGTGGAATTTCACATACCTCATTCTCCCCTCCTGCTCTGGGAATCCTGCCCTTATCTTTTTCGTGGTCGTATGCTTTAAGGCATCTTTTGCTATGAGTCCCGCATGAAAATGGTCTCCACTCTCCTCGTGTGATTTCTTTACTACCACAATAACGCGACTCTCGAAGACGCCTCTTATCCTATCTGCAACATGATGCTTCTATATCTCTGGTCTCATATCAGCATGAGTCAAGGTTAGAAGCACATATTTCCTTGTTGTACTAGTTCTTGCTTTCATTTCGATTTTGATTCCTTTTTAAAACCCCCATTTTGTTTTCCTTTTTACTACTAGATCTTTCAATGCACGATTATATCCTTTCTCGTCCTGATACCCGAGTGAGGGGCCCCTGCGACAACTGGGGGCCTGAACGTTCCTTTATACACTGAGAGTTTTTTAAGGGACTCTGACTTATTGTTTGCACAGGGATCATCAATCTCCATAATGACCAGACCAAGCCAAAGCCATGCCAACCTACGCCTTTTCCCACCGTCACTGCCATCTCACAACTTGGATTCGAACCAATCAAGCGACTTGCCCTTTAGTAGATAATGAGTGGGTCTGTCGTCCTCCTCATTATAGGCCTCCTAAAATCAATAGAATTTTGTCGGAATACATCTTGTCTTTTCACCTTAGTATTCCTATGCATAGTTAGTACTATAGCCCCAATCATGGCTACTAATAAAATCAGACTAGAAACCAAAAACTAGACGGAATAGTAGGTATAAAGTAAATTGCTCAATGTTTCCAAATTAGTCCAACTTCATACCATTCCGGCATAAACCGTATATCTAAGAGAGGTCGTATTTATTTGGGTTGGTAGTAATGGAATKGTTTCATTATCTAAAATGAAGAACATTTCCCACCAAAAGATCAGTCCAATAATACCACACACTGGTAAATAGCGAAAGACTTCTTTGTGAATCTCCGCTATTTGAATATGGAACATCATAACAACGAATAGGAATGAAACGGCTATAGCTCTTATACGAACTACTACGAAGATCATAGCGAAGAAGTCGAGACCTAACAAAAGAAGTAAACCTGAAGTGTTGCGAAAGACTGGGATGAGAAACAAAACAGAATGTACCTGATTTTTAGCACGTACAACCATCAAACCAGAGACCAAAGCTGGGCTCGACAAAACAGAAAGTATCATGGTACGTCGTCCTTCCCTAAAATGAAACATTCATGCTGGAGCAAGAACTAGCATGAAAGTCGATCTATTACGACCAGTGCGGTTGTTCGTATTTCATTTCCTTCTTAGAAGCACTCGCTGAGTTACTTACGGAATCTAAAATCTCTCTCGACGCCGAGAATTTGTGATGTTTCCAAGTCGATCAGAGGTTCGGCTTGCTTCTCCCCTACCTTTTAGCGTTCTAGGCCCCTGAAAAAAGAAAGAAACCCGAAATCAAAAATAAAGAAGAGAAATTAGGCCATGTTTCCTGAGAGAAGTCGTCTTCTCCCAAGCCAACCGTCTTCTACTTTTAGTCGACTGCTCTATGATGGGCTTCCCCGTTCCCTGGGCTCTGCTTGCTCGTCTACGCTCCGACCCTGCAAGAATAATAGAAAAATTCTCTTTCCTTGCCTGCATTAATATTTCAAACTTGTTGCAAAAAAAAGGCAATCAATCAAAAAAACGGAAATAGTGAATCAACATCTATATGGATCCTTATCTTTGTCTCTATCCACAGAGATACCGAGACATATGGATAGAAATCGATCTATGAATCGATCTAGACGAGACTCGAGACGGATAGAGATGTCCCTGTGAGTGACTATGTCGATCTTTATATGTTTTGGCCACGTCTGTTTCCGCTCCGAAGAGGAGGGTTTTGATCTTTCAATCTTATGTCGTGAGGGATGTGACCTATGTTAGGTCCATAAGATACCACAACTTTTAGTGTTCTATGATTCACCTCCGAATAATGAGTAGGTAGTTCGATCCTTTTGATTTTGCTCTTCATAGTAAACTAATGGGGGATGCGGAGCAATAGGTTGAATTACTATATAAAGAAGAGTTGTAAACTATAGGACTTCTTGTTCGAGTAAGAAGATTTCAGTTTTTCTCGTTCCTTCTATTCGATAAGAATATGGATTTAAAATGATACAAATTCCTCTTCATTCAGTTGTGCTCAGCGAAGGAACTGCCTAAAGATACTTTTTCCGATCCAAACTTCTTTGTTCTTTCTAAGTCTTCTTCTTGCATAGAAGAACGCAACTGTTGCAAAAACCGGGATTTTAGTAGTAGGCGGCATCCCCTCTTAGTTTTGAGTAGGTGGAACCATTCTGTTTTAGTTCTTCTCCACATTCTTACCGGGTGATCCARGAATTTTCCTATGATTTTTTCAACTGATATTTCGATATAGAAAGATCTCCTTATTTCTTCACCGCGGATTCTCGCGTCATTTTCTTGAAAAGATATTAGATCACCGTGGGACACTTTAAAATGAGTAATGCTTACCATTCCTTTATTCACACAAACCCTTCGATGACTTATCGGTTGCCTTGCTTGAGGAATAGTTTCACTAAAATGGAGACGAACCGGAATAACGTCCGATCTTGTTTCTGGATTGAGTGGAAAAGGGATATAAGAAGTTCGTTATGTTCCTCTGTGCATCTCTATGATGGGTAAATCCCCATGAAAAAGGGGCAACTTTSGTGTAGTTTGTGATTGGATGTAACTATTAAGATTTTCTCTCAGATAAATCTTTCTCTTAATAGATATCTTCTTGTTTCTCAATTTTCGAAGAATGCAGCGTTGTATTATTGTAAGTTCTCTGTTTTGAAATTTCCTAAAAGTAGACTACAGGTTTGAAATCTTAATGAGGCAAGGCATATCTTGTTGAATCAGTCTTTTTCGCCACATCGCGTATAACGGGAATCGAACCCCCTCTGCAGCTGGCGGGCGGATGGAGAATGTTCGAGATACTTCGATCCAGCCACTTTTTAGGAGTTGGTTTTGGCTTACCCCTTTCTCTAATAAGAAGGTAAGTTTCTAAAGCTCCTTCCTTCAGCTGGTACGCAGGAGCGCACTTCCGTTTTCCCTAACCTATATAAGGGGGTGTAATGAATAGAGATCTCCCGCCAGCTGTCTTCTCTTCTTATCACTTCACTTCGTTCGAGAGATCTGATCTCATCGGATCTCGCCAGGTCGGACGAAGGGGAAGGAAGGGATGGGTGATCCAGGAACAGCAACGAGAGAGGGATCGTAGCCCCCTTTTCCCTCTTCCTCACGCCTATTTGTTCTCCCGGCCTCGAAAAGATGTGGAACTCTTTTTTTTTAAATAAAAGATGAATAGATAGGGCCATCATACATTCCAGAATATTGTAAAGAAATAGACTCTTTTCGTCCCCGCCTGCCTAAGGACTTATGTGTATGTTTTGGAATAGGGATGTTTGCCTTTTGTAACAAGTGGACCCATGATACGGACTAATAGATGTTCATACTCTTACCCGAAAGTAAGATATATTCATAGTTGGCCAATCCCCCACGGCTTCTTGCTTTTCATGAATGTGTCTCCCCCTTTGCTTATCTGAGTTTGACCCGCTTTTGACTCTGCTTGATTCTGACTCCCTATGAGCCATTTGACGACCTTACTTTTTCGAAGGGTCGACGGGACGTGGGAGCCTCAGCTCATGCATCRGTTTACCGAAATCACCTCCGCTATCCCACTTCCTTCTATTCAAAAAGGCGAGCTGCCCTTAATTAAACAAAAAGGCCAAATTCGGGAGCTCCTCTTGATATATTACATAAGCCCTCAAGTAGGTAACCCCTAAAGGCGAACTCTGCCACTTTTTAGGASTTGGTTTTGGCTTGCCTCTTTCTATGTTATTAGTAAAGCGCTAACGAGCAAGAAAACGAATGTACTAACGCCTTTACACCGTCGACGATAATACTCTAATAAGGTCGTCGTATTAGAGTCGACGGCTTTCGCGCAGCTCAATCCCTTGCTTTGTTCGAGAGTAAGGGGCCCTTTCAATAAGGCTCGCATAAGGGCGCTCAAGTTTTTTGGCTTTCTTCACTCTACTAGCCTTGATTGGCGCATGRAAGTACCAAGGTGCGTCTGCTGGTATCGTATATAAGAGAAAGGCTGCATTTAGGAGTGATCTTTCCCTCTTCTTCAAGCCAGTGGTGATCTCACTTTCGAAAGAGAGTCTCGACGTGCTTAGTAGCGCGTAAACAGAACACGTAGCTCCATAGCGGAACTAGTCACTGGCTACAGGATTCTTTCTTACCGGACCGGAGGTAGCCGAGAATGTTATGTCAAAAGGACCAATGATAATGAAGGAGAAGAAAGAAGGAATATGAGCTAGCCTGCCCTTTTTAGTCGAGTATGGACGGAATCGAATGATTACGATCTYGACAATGAGACAAAGCCAAGAGGGGAGAGCACTTAGACAATTCACTTTGAGTACAGGGAAGTCTGCTGGTAGGAATTCCTCAGGGCGTATTACGGTTTTTCACCGAGGGGGTGGATCGAAGCGATTGCAGCGAAGAATTGATCTGAAACGAAGCACTTCATTTATGGGCATTGTAGAAAGAATAGAATATGACCCTAATCGTTCTTCTCGGATCGCTTTATGAGACCTCTTTTTCTTCCTCCTCATACTGCATTTCGGGAGCGGACTGTTGGGGAGTTTCGAGGGAACCCCAGGTCTCATTAGGCTGGCGGGCGGAAGCGAGTCTTCTTCAGCCCTGCAAGTACTGCT